AAGCAATTAAACACAGGAGATAAAGGAGTAAACAACAACAGGTAAATAACATGTCAATCGTAAGTCAATACATCTCAATTCTAACCATCAATGTAAATGGACTCAATTCACCAATTAAGAGAAATAGACAGGCACGGTGGATTAGGAAACAAAATCCAACAATATGCTGTATACAAAAAAACACATTTAACCCATACATTCATAGGCTGAAAGTCAAAATGTACTCATAGGGCCAGCCAAATAGCTCCGTAGACTAAAGCACTTGCTTAGGCAGACACAAGGGCCGCGGGTTCAATCCCCAGCCTGCCATGCCCACCCTGTCCCCAGGGGTGCGCTGCAACTGCAATTGAGACTGGGTGTGTTGGTGCACACCTGTAATCCCAGCACTTGGAAGGCTGTAAACAGGAGAATCACTACAAGTCTGATCTACGCAGTGAGACCCTGTACTAAATACCAAAAAAAAAGTACTCATTTATGTATACCCTTAGCCTAACTTTCTTTAAATTCAGATTCATACACTTATTTTCCCAGTACAGGTGTCCTAAATCCACATATACATTCGTCACTATAGTTGACACTGATTAATTCACAGGTCTCATAATGCTATGGTTAACAAGAACACAATCACAGTACAAGGATTATTCTGTATTTCATCACCATTACCAAAAAAGTCATTAAAATACACTACTAAAATTTTATTGAAATAATAGTAGAAACAAGTAGAAAATTACTATATACTTGTTTCAAAAAGATTTATTTTACTTAAAATAATTAATTTATCTTTGTGGGAATACATCAAAAAATAAATACATGTTAAAGATTTCATACTAAAAAGGGTTAGCTGAGTAAAATAAATATTTCAAAAGAACATATTCTTTCTACATAGATAAATTTGTCAGTATTGTTTTTATTTTTCTCTAAACATCTGCAAAAAGAGTAATTTTATTTTTGACAATAAAAAAACTTCCTATGGATACTTTTTTTTAATATTTTGGATTTCTAAGTTTTACTCATTCTAAATACACATCCTAAGTAAACTTTGCTACAGATGAAGTATCTATTTTGTTCTAAGTCATAAAGTATGTTTCAAAATGAGAAAAACAGTGTACACCAAGTCCTAAAACACTTTTATAAGAAGTCTGATATACAACCATGTACAAATCACATACTCTTGCAATTGTTTCAAATAATTCTTTAAAGTAATTGGCTCTTTCTTTATTATTCTGTTTATTTCCACGATGACCTTGTTCTATCCAAAACTGGAACTCATCATTTGGCGTAAGAATACCTGTAAAAGTGAAAATTTAAAAACAAATTCTCAATAAAAAATGAAAGGCCAGAAAGGTACAACTTTAACTATATCTGGATACATGCATATTTCTTACACTCTTGAAGAGGTATATACAAATGACTTTTACAATAGCAAGCTACCAACAGTAAGCTCTAATTTAAATTCCCTAAAAACACTAACAGCACCAAATTTATACCTCATCATATTTGTTTTGTGTGCTGTTTCTTGTGTTGCTCTATTTTGAGACAGGGTCTTGCTATGCAGTGCAGGCTGGCCTCAAATACCTATTCCTAGCTGTACGGTCATTCTGCTCTGGCGCCTGAGTTTGCTTCTTGAACACATTTTCCTAAATCTGATTCCAACACTATTTATGCTCCTAAATTCCATCCAAGTGGAAATAATTATAATTTCATCAATATGTTTTAATTTCTAAACATAAACACATTAGTTTTAAATATTCTTATAAACTTTCAAAAAAACTAGGTATTTCTACTTGCCTAATAATATGCTAGAAATAAAGCTGCTTTTCTTTTGGAGATGAGCTTTCAGTATCTACTTTTAAAGAAAAATATAAGACTACACCCAACATTTTAAAATAATTACTTGTATGTTATGCATTTCACATTCATGTTCCTATGAATAGTAATTTCTCTATAATTATAACAAAACTACAATGACAGGTACAGAAAATCCATTTTAACATAAAAGTTTATGCCCAATCATCTTTGCAAGGTATATAATTAGTCGGTCCTTATTATTCACACACTCAATATTAGAGTAGCAAACCAATTTTAGTCACCTGATACGTACGTTCCTAGCTAAGGTCAAAGTGACCCTGCCCTTGTTTCTTTCCTGTATCTGTTTTGTTCGTACCACATTTTTTACTTTCTATTGATCTCACTATTTAAAATGACCCTCATGTGTAGTGCTAAAATGCTATCAAGTTCTTCTAAGCACAAGAAAACCAAGTTGTTCCTTAAAGAAAATCCTACATTGCAAAAGTTTCTATTACAATGCTGATGGCCATGAAGACAATGTTAATAAATCAGCAATATATATTAATGAGTCTTTGAACACAAGGTTATGCATTACCAAAACATCGACACAAGGTGACAATATATTGTGGCCAGAGGCTTGAAGGATAAACATTTGATCTCTCCTGCAAGCAACAGTTCAGCATTCACCAAGTCAGTGTTCACAGTGACTACAGAACTCAACTAATGTGAACGGTGAAAATCAGCTATACTTTCGAGTTCCACAAATTATACGTTTTTTAAAAAATACATTTTCCTGAGAGGCTGAACTCGGGGTCTGACAAGATGGCTGGGCTGCCCCGCAGGATCATCAAGGAAACCCAGCGTCTGCTGGCACAGCCGGTTCCTGGGATTAAAGCTGAACCCGACGAGAGCAACGCCCGTATTTTCACGAGGTCATTTCTAGCCCCCAGGATTCCCCTTTTGAAGGAGGGACTTTTAAACGTGAACTATTTCTGCCAGAAGAATACACAATGGCAGCATCTAAAGTACATTTCATGACCAAAATTTATCCTTCTAATGTAGATAAGCTAGGAAGAATATGTTTAGATATTCTGAAAGGTAAGTGGTCACCAGCACTGCAGATCCACACAGTTCTCCTATCAATCCAGGCTTTGTTAAGTGCTCCTAATCCGGGTGACCCATTAGCAAATGAAGCAGCGGAGCAGTGAAAGCCCAGGGAAGCCCAAGCCACAGAAACAGCTAGAGCATGGACCAGGCTCTATGCTATGAATAATATTTAAGTCGGTCCGATCATCCAGTTTGTGTCACTTCTCCTGCTCTGCCAAGACTTCTGCCTTTTTTGTTTGCATTTAATGGACATGGTCTTAGAACATTACAAAATAAAATCCCACACATTTTCAGTCCTTTGGTGATTAAATGCACATTAGCAAATCTATGTCTTGCTCCAATTCACTGCTGTAAAGCATGAGCAGAGGTTGAAGCTTCATCTGGATTGTTGTGAAGCGTTTAAAGGCAGTGGCCTCTGCTTTTATTCATTTCCCCCATCACACTTTAAGTATAAAGCACTGGGAATGAAGGTAGTTGTCAGGGTTAGCTGCGGGGATATGGGTGTTCTTTATTTTATTTTATTCTATTTTTTGAGAGGTAAGGCAATTTCAAAATTTTGTGCCCCTCCCTTTTACGGTGATCTAATTGCACTGATTATAAAGTAGCCAACCAGTTCTTTAAGATACGCTCTCTAGCCAAGTCTAACTTTATTTAGATGCTATAGATGGACAAGCTGATTGAACCAAAATGGGAACATTAACAAACACCACAGCCCTCATTAAAACTGTGATTTTGCAGTCAAGTGTAGATTTCCCCTTCAAAAAAAAGCTTGTTACCATTTTGTATGGTTTGTCTGGAAACTTCTATAAATCTTATGTTTTAGTAAAATATTTTTTGTTATTCTAAAAAAATACATTTTTCTTTTGTCTAAATCCATGCACATCTATTCATTTAAAAAAAAAAAAAAAAAGCTTATGCTTGAAGTTCCAGAAACATGGAAAGAATTCTGTGCAGAAAGACATTCCCCTACTATTGGACTAATGAAGTAATCATTTATACTTTGGTTTAAACTACAGATGATTATATCATACAGCTATTTCAATAAGTGATACATGACTAAAGACATTATATATTGTTATGTACCTCTAGTATCATCTTCCTTAAGCTTCAATTTTGATAAATTAGCATCTGATCTTCGTAGAACCACACCCAACCCAGCTTCTAGCTCACTCAGAAGATTCTGAAGTTTGGGATCAAAGTTTCTACTCCATTCCTGATCCTAAATAAAAACACACAAGAGCAACCACAGATCAGAGTGTTCCCAGTCTGAGGGGCCCTTAGGGACTCTATCTAAAGGACTAAGTCAACACATCCCTGCTTTGCTTACTGCCATCACAACCTCTACTTCATGATGCCTAAAAGGCCTCAGAACAGCGAAAACTATACAAAGATCACCTATTATAGCAATGTCAGAGCCCGTGTGAACTGCACAATATACTTTTCTCCAATTATCTGTCAATAAAGCTTACTTCAGAACGAGAAACTGAGAAATGTATGGGGCCTGTGTCAACTCCCAGAACAACAACTACTACAAAAATTCTCTGGGTGCGCCAGCCCATACCCATCACCCCAAGTACTGGGAAACCAAAATAGAAAGATCAATGAATAAGCCAGCCTGGGTAATTTAGGGAGATCCTATTTCAAAAAATAAGACAAAAGGGGCTAGGACTGTAGTTAACTGTGGAAGTCCTGGCTTCATTAACCAATAACAACAAAAATGACATTTGAATATAAAAGTAAAACACTACATTAATAGTAAACAACATGTTTATATAAAAATTTATCCAAATACTTGAATAAGTATAGATAAGTAAATATGCGGCTACTCACTCACCTTTAACAACATTGGTGCAAACACGTGCCGTACTGCTTGGTAAAGGGAATTAATAGGTGACTCTAACATTGATGAAACGAGAATGTTATTATGTAGATTCACGTCAGTAATGACTTCAGGTCGCAACTTGAAAAACACCAGCACTTTATCTTTTGTATCACCAAACTCAATCTAAAGTGATAAATGATTTTAATGTTATTTTCATAAAATTTAATACTTATAAAATGTGGCTCTAAAATGTTGTATCACTGCAATTACACTTCTCAGGAAAATATAGTTATTTTCAAAAAAATCTAGTAAAGCTAATATATCTCTGTTCTTTAAGAATATCTGGGTTTAATGATGTATCCACACCTCTATATGATTATATCATAAACCTATTTTTGAAAAGTGATTCTGGAGCATTAAATATGACATATCGTTGACACACACTGCTAACGACTGCATGCACTAAATGTCAAGGGTAGGTGCCTTGGAAACAGGGCAGAACACATCTCTACCACACAAAGAAAGTCCACAACAAAGATAGTAATTATGCTATCATGTGGAAGGGGCACTGTAAAGGATGCTTATTAAATTCTATATACATACACTATATTAATTATATAAGTTTATATATAATGTTCAAAACACCAAATGAACCTAAGTTGTCTACCTTCTAAAATTACCTTTACCTTAACCAAAAATTTTTCCATACAGTTGTAACATCAAAATTTTATTAAACTGTCACATACTTTAAAATTGTGATTGGATGAACTCAATTGGAAATCACTGATGAGATCTTGTTCAAAATAGATCAGGTCATAGTAATTAGTTCATTACGTAAAAAATATACTAGTCAAAAGAAATTTTTTTATTATGTATTATATTTTCAGTTGTTCTAATTTCTTCTTCCAGCCTACAAACTAACAACTCTATAAACTAAAAGGTATTCAAACAAGGTTACTGCTGTATAACACCTCCTAGATGAGCTTCATGCTCTTTTACCCTAAATATTTCCATTTTAATTAGTGAATTTTTGTGATAACAGTGACTACATTCAGCTTAAGGGTTTGACATACACATATCACATCCCTACTGTTCTTACTCCCCTTGTCCACCATTTCCCCAGATCCCCTTGCCATCTCTATATTGTCTACCTCCATTTTTTTAACATGGCTCTTTTAACTCACTCTTTAAAGTTATAGCCTCTTTAATAAATGGTTCTGGAAAAACTGGCTTTCCACATGCCAAAAGCTAAAACTAGACCCATAATATCTCCATGTAGTAAGTTACAGTCAAAATGGATCAAAGATTTAAACATTAAGACAGAAATACTAAATCTTCTAGAGGAAAACATATGTAAAAATCCTAAAGACATAGGGGTGGGTAGGGAGTTCGTGAACAAAAACCAAAACACACAGGAAATACATCAAAGAATCAACAACTCACATCTCATCTTTTGAAAAGTTTTTGCACTTCAAAGGAAATCTCTAATGGAGTAAAAGAAAACCCACCAACTGGGAAAAAATTATAGCTGACTATCCCTCTGAAAGAGGTCTTATATTTAGAACACATAAAGAATTCCTAAAAATTAGGCCTCCCAAATTCAAAAATGCAATCCAAAAAAATGAGCATTTCAGATGAATATACACTTTTCAGATAAAGAAATACAAATGGAAGTAAATATAAGAAAAAATGTTCAACGTCATTGGTCATTCAAGAAATGCAAATTAAAACAACAGTGAGTGTGGGAGGCACAATAACTCCAGGCCTCCAATACTATTGCAAGTGAATCTTTTTCTAAATCCTGAGAATCTGCCACATTATGACTCCATGCCATATAGTCCTTAATGGTCACCCGAGTGCCTCTGACCTATAAAATTCTCTTGGTGCGTCAGCGTCATTAGTGATGCTGACTTCCTCTTCCCCTACCTCTGCCAA